GGGGGGGGTAGTACAATATACAATTCGTGGTTCGTGGAGAACTGCATGTGAACAAGAGTGTAAGTGTTGGATAGTCCATTTACTCGGAACTTCAGGGTGTCCAAAAAGATGGTTCCAATAGGGAACGGGATAAAGTGTGCCCACGTCCCTCGTGACTCATTGGAGCAGAGGAAGATAAGACTAACGCTAACATTACTTAACCCTATCCGTACGCCCTGGGGTCAATTTGTACCCCCGGGGTTGTATTCTTCACATTTTAAAATACTTTTAGTGCAAAGATCTCTTTGAAACTGTCAGTATTTCTCAAAAATTCATTTTGACAGACTGCTATGCGAAGCGTACGGATCAGATTAACGAGTAAATTTCCTCTTTGGAAAGTGGTGGCACAGAGTTCCCCACGTCGTATGGATACGATAGTAAAACACGACATACGGATAGGGTTAAACGCAATCCTGCATCATCACTCATCTCCATCATTATTTTTAAAATCATCATTGCTTCCAGGTCAATGGCCTACATCTATAATCCTGGAATCTCTATTTGCAAAAGTAATACCAAGTAGGCTATGCATGTAATACACTATTGGAAACTATCATGCCCACTTTTATCTAGTAATCAGATGGCGTCAATCTCATAAAATGAGAAAGGGATAAAAAGGATACTCCGTTTAAAACTGAGAAACATAAAGAGAGAGAGAGAGGATGAGATTTACAGTAGAATTACTCAAAATGCATGATCCACAAGGGAAAATGACTTAATTGCAGATGCTGTCTTGGGAGACAAAACATAGATTTACTTCGTTGAAATACCATTGAAACGACTGGATCGTCTGGATTGATGAAGGAGGAGATAAAATAATATGCCTCTCTTTTTGCGTCCAGGGTTTCACAGCAGAAAGTGACTCTTTATTGGTCTTCTTCATTTACTATTTCCCCTCCTGGCTGATATCATATCATAATTGTACTACGACACTTTCTTACTAGGGTACTGACCACTTGAAAATGCCGTTGTTGAGCAGGGACTATAATTCGTATTCTCTAGCACAATGCCCCTCCACGACTATGCAGCGCCATACAAAGTATGGGCGACAACCTTGCGCATACAAAATCAAGGAATCTAAGTTTTGCCCCTTTCAGTTACAGTCCTAACTTAGTTTGATCTGCTTTTTCGTTTTTCAGCTGGACAAAATTCTGACCTTCGACGTGCTTTCTAGAAGGGACTGTGGAGACTGAAGTCCTGAATGCAAGACTGAGAAGAATATTTCAAGTAACTGAACATTTCATATCCATAGCTTTAAGAAGTTGTTTTTAAAGATACCACTACTTCAATTACATTTTGATCAACCTTCGTATCTTTTTCATCTCCTGGTAAATGTTGACTTAAAGAGCGTGCTTTTATTATATTTATATTTTGCACTGATTAAAGCACACTGCATACACCATGCCGCATGTATCCCACTGCTACAGCAAACCCTGTCACATGTATTTTTCCAGAAAGTCTTTCTATACGTTTGAGAAAGGGTATTTTGGATCTTATGTCATGTGACACCGGCAGGCAATCAAGGGGTTAGGCTACCGAAATATCAATCGTGAAGTTGCAAGTTTTGGGGATTCGAGGCTCATCTTGCTGTGTTCTTGGGACAGGCACTTTACACACGTTTTATTTTATTCATTCCAATCAAGTGTGAATGGGTATTCGACCATAGAGAGTAAAACATCTATCAGTATGCCAGTGTTTTACACCTGTAAAATAACAGCTCGCATTGTAGTGTGGTAGGTCTTTACTCACGGGACATTTTTACTCGATTTGCCGTGTAGGACTGTCGGATCAGGTGGTGTTTTTCGTGTGAGCACTTTGCAGGTCCGTGCTAAGTCAATGATCATGTCAGCTGCTGTGTTGTGAGTTAATTGAGTGTTCGGAGAGTCACTATAGTAGTATGTTACCCAGTAGGTTGGGATTGTTTCAGAATGCTATCAGGTCTACACTGTCGTAATAATAATGTTATAGATTGTAATGCACATAGTGCTTGCTACTGATCTGGAATTTGCGCTATACAAACCTCATTTATTTTTATTTATGTTCCCTTCAGAAAAAAGAAATGTCTTTTGGAATTATCCTTGCTGGTAGAATACGGTGCAAAGGTATGCCCTGTCCTTTGAATAAAAGCAGCACTTGGCTGGCAACAATCTGATCTCACTGCACACAACATGAGGTCAAAGTCTGCTTGGTCCCCTCCCCCCCTATCCGGAACTTGCTTGACCTACTGCGCACATCTAGAGTCTTCACTCTCTGTGGAGGCCGTATGTGGGTCACTTTGACGTTATGCTCGAGGCAGGCAGGTAGGTAGATAGGTAGGTAGGTAGGCAGGTAGGTAGGTAGGTAGGTAGGTAGGCAGGTTGGTAGGTAGGTAGGTAGGTGAGGGTGACGGGCGTGGATTGGGGTAGGGGGTGTCACTTTCACCAAATATGATACACGTATCACATATCTACGTAATACATTTTCACACGCACACATCGTACTGATTAGCGAGCGATGTTATAACAATGCTACCCACAGGCTTTCACTACTGACCCTCCTCAACAAAGTCGGGTCACCGACATCTCTTGTCCGTTAAGTTGCCTGAAAGCTCACGCTAACTAATTACGCCCCCCTGCCCCCCCCCCCCCCCGCAATACATATATCTGTGACGTAATAGTCATCCTCGCCCATATCCTTGGCACACTCAAGATGTTAACCTAATTACCGTTCGGGTAAGCCTACGATATAAAGTATCTCTGTCTTCTTGCGAGTATACTGTATCCCACTCAGCTCCGGATGATCCTGACAGGCAAGGTCCAGACAGTCTGTTTCTTAACCCTATTCGTACGCCTTGGGGTCATCTTGTTGCCTCGGGCTTGTATTCTTCACATTTTAAAATACTTCTAGTACGAAGATCACTTTGAAAATTTCAGTATTTCTCAAAAATTCCTTTTGACAGACTGCTATGCAAAGGGTACAGATCGAATTAACGAGTATGTTTCCTCTTTAAAAGTAGTGGCACAGTGTCCCCCCACGTCATATGGATACGATAGTAAAACACGACGTACGGATAGGGTTAAATGATCATACTTTTTAATAGCATAGTCGTTAAAAGTTTACAACCAATAACTGCAGATTAATTCAGTCCAGCATCTTGCTCTTCTCTTTCTCTTGTCTTAACTTATTTAGGACAACTTCAAAATGAATCTTCTGACTAGTAGGAATTACATAACTCAAAGGTGTATTTTGCAATGATAAAAATGCGAATAATACAGGGACAGTATAGTAGTTTAAAACACACACACACACACACATACACACACATACAAACACACACACACACACACACGCACACACAAAAACATGCACAAAAATGCACTAAATACCCTTTTATTTAGGGGTGTGGGGAAATTCTGAATAGTGGGTTGTTATACACGATGAAATCACAGAGTTTTGATTCCTAGTTTGCATTACTTCGAGGCCGCGCTCTTAATGCTCTTCAAAAATTAATGTGCTGCCAAACGTACACACAAAAGACCACGACACACACCATAGCAAAGGGCAAAACATCAGATTTGCTACAATCAAGGTGCAGCGAGCATTTCCCCCTCCTTCAACCTTCATTTTCTTTAAATGATGAGCTCCACGAAAATTGAAAATAAAATAATAGAAATACTGCAATACTTAGAGGGCAATCGATCTATGATACTCAGTCATTCTGGAAAAAGATAACCTGCAAAGATATCAGAAGAAAGGACAAAATTGCACCCTGAAATGCAACTGAGCAGAGCGCGATTTTGGTTCAGTAGAGGGATGTCAAAGCAGCACGCCTCCTTAATTATCTAAACTCTTTCATCCTTAAGTTCAAACAGAAAGAGGAAAACAGAAGCGCTGTCACATGTTATAAATCATTTTCGATCATCAGTGTACGCAGCAAAGGAGAGCTGTGAGCTCAGATGACATCACGCTGGCTGGCCTGTAGAGCAGATGGTCCTGGTTCGAATCTCTAACGGGAATGTTCTTGAACTTGAGTTATTTCGCCAGTTTTTAAGGTACCCCATCCAGTTAATTAGACTCTATCGAAGATGAACGTTACATTTAGAGGTCCGGCCTATTTGATAACCTTAAAACATTAAAAGGGACGTTAAACCTATTTAATTACTGCATTTACCCGTAGTTCAGTGGTAGTATTATAATTTATAATCATCACTGTCACCCAGGGACGAACCGTGTGCCCTCCTCCATTAGAGGTATTTCACCGACATTACTCGCCCTTTACATGAATTCTGAGCTTGAGTTCGTTAATTAATGACATGACGCAAGCGCCTATGGTGTGAAGGGTT